ATATGCAGGGAAGTCGTTAGGTGGCGGAGGAGGGCAGAGTGGTTAGCCGAAGTTATTGCTTTTCATGACAGATCTAATTAAATGACAAGATTCTCATCGTGGTGTTGCAGTGCTTGATTTTTACTGTTGTTAGACACTATTTCTCCAACCCTCCTACTTCATAGGGCTTTCTCAACTCAGTAACAATTTGTAATTACACACACACACACACAAAACTATGACCCAGTTATTATTCTCAGTATTATATCTATACAGATAACCCTTTATCTAAAATTCTTGAGAGCATACATGTTTCAGATTTTAGAGAATTTCAGTTTTCTTTTTTTTTTTAGAATTTCAGTTTTCTTGATGAGGGATTGCTCAGCCCATGTGAACTCATTTAGAGTCCCCCCCCCCTCCTTTTTCTTTGCTTTTCTTTCCTTTTTTTTGGTCAGTCATGGGCCTGGGCGCTGTCCCTCAGCTCTTTAGCTCAAGGTTAGCACCCTAACACTTGAGCCACAGCGCCACTTGCAGCTTTTTCTGTATATGTGGTGCTGAGGAATCAAACCCAGGACCTCATGCATGCAAGGCAAGCACTCTACCACTGAGCCACCTTCCCAGCCCCTCTCTCTCCTTTTTCTTTTTCTTCCCTTTTTTTTTTTTTTTTGCCAGTCCTGGAGTTGAACTCAGGACAGGGTGCTGTCCCTGAGCTTTCATAAGGCTAGTACTCCACCACTTGAGCCACAGCTCTACTTCCAGCTTTTTGGTAGTTAATTGGAAATAAAGGTCTTACAGACTTTCCTGCCTGGGCTAGCTTTGAACCATGATCCTCAGATCTCAGTGTAACTAGGATTAACAGGTATGAGCCACCAGTGCTTCATTTAGTCTTAAGACTTGATACTAGCCGGGTGCTGGTGGCTCACATCCGTAATCCTAGCTATTCAGGAGGCTGAGATCTGAGGATCGTGGTTCAAAGCCAGCCGGGACAGGAAAGTCTGTGGGACTCTTATCTCTAGTAAACCACTAGAAAACCGCAAGTGGCACTATGGCTCAAGTGGTAGAGCACTAGCCTTGAGCTGAAAAGCTGAGGGACAGCGCCCAGGCCCAGAGCTCAAGCCCCACAAGTGACAAAAAAAAAAAAAAAGATTTGGTACTATTACTACTATTAAAAACTGAGTCCCATAGGCTAGATAACTGACCAAAGGTCACTCAGCTTGTAAAACTTAAAACACAAATTTGAAACCCAAGTGGTCTGGCTCCATCATTAAGTAGACTTACACCTCTTTGATCTGTACTCTATTTCCTGTAGCTCCCTGCATTATTTCACTTTCTCCTCTGCCTAGACCATAGCTGGGGCCCATGGCAAATCCCACAGAGATCTCCAGGGAATAGACAAGTGTCTTCAAGTGTCTTCTTTAGGCAGAGAAACCAGCCACTATCATCAGCTTTCCTGACTGAAGATTGGGCTGTGATTGGATTTGGCTAAACTGTTTCTGTTTGAATCTATAAATCTCTTGCCATTCTTTCAATGTAAGAAAGAGTTAAGAAACTGGATGTCAGTGGCTCACACCTATAATCCAGGAGTCTGAGAGGATTGCAGTTCAAAGCCAGCCTGGGCAGGAAAGTCCGTGAGTCTCTTACTTCAATAAACCGCCAGAAAACTGGAAGTGGTGCAGTGGCTCAAGTGGTAGAGCACAAGCCTTGAACTGAACAGCTAAGGGACAGCGCCCAGGCCCAGAGTTCAAGCCCCATGACCGACCAAAAAAAAAAAAAAAAAAAAAGAATGAGCTGGGCGCCTGTGGTTCATGCCTGTTATCCTAGCTACTCAGTAGGCTAAGATCTGAGGACCATGGTTCAAAGCCAGCCTGGGCAAGAAAGTCCATGAGACTCTTCAATTAACCACCAGAAAACTGAAAGTGGTGCTGTGGCTCAAGTGGTAGAGTGCTAGCCTTGAGCAAAAGAGCTCAGGGACAGTGAGTGTCCAGGCCTAGAGTTCAAGGTCCATGACCCTCCCCCCCCCATAAAAAAAGAATGAGTTAAGAGTAGGGCTGGAAGAAAAAGCCAGAGGTGGCACTGTGGCTCAAGTGGTAGAGCACTAGCTTTGAGCTGAAGAGCTGAGAGACAGTGCCCAGGCCCAGAGTTCAGGCCCCAACAAAGAAAAAAAAAAGAGTAGGGCTAGAATAGGGGAACAACAGAATATGACCACCCCATCACATCCTTTCCCAGTGCTGGAACTATGTGACAGAAAAGTAGTCAGCTCCAATCACAAGCATTGGCAGACTTATGGGATATGAGCCAAATCCTGGATACCATTTCCCTACTGCCTTGTAGGTATGATAGAATTTTCTTTTCCTTCCTTCCTTCCTTCCTTCCTTCCTTCCTTCCTTCCTTCCTTCCTTCCTTCCTTTCTCTTCCTTCCTTCCTTCCTTTCTCTTCCTTCCTTCCTTTCTCTTTCTTCCTTCCTTCCTTCCTTCCTTTCTTTCTTTCTTTCTTTCTTTCCCTTTCTTTTCCCTCCTTTCTTCCTACAGGATATCTTGTAAACTAGACTGGGCTTAAATTCACAATCTTCCTTCCTGAGCCTCCTCCCCAGTGCTAGATTTACAGTCATAAGCCACCATAAGCCGCCATGGCTTTACCATCCTCGCTATCCTGATTCTTTCAAACCATACTATGATAGTGTGCACCTGTCATCCTAGCACTCAGGAGATCAAGGCAGGTAGATCACAAGTTTGAGGACAGTCTGGGCTACAGAGCAAGACCCCCCCAAACAAGAAAAACATGGCTTCCTCACCTCCTCACAGCTCTCACAGCACATTCCCAAACTCGGGGGAGGAAGGCTGCCAAGTTATTAGAGCTAAAATATGTTTGTATGTGTGGAAATGAGTATATGGTGGAAAGGACAGATGCCTCCTTACATCACATTCCTTCATCAAGGAGGTAGGGAGGAGGCAAGGACTTTATAAAGCCATAGGCCTTCAGTGAGACCCAGGGTAGAAGGAAGCGCCTGCAATAAGAGCCATTGGTACAGCTGGTAGGTGCAATGTGTGCAGTTGAAGGGGTGGTGTGGGGGATGGGAAAGGGGACATTTGAGTTCTCTTTATGTTTTGTGTGTGCTGATCCTAGGCTTGAACTCATAACCTGAGTGCTATCCCTGAGTTGGCTTTTTTTTTTCTTAAGGCTGTCTGAGAGAGCCACATCTCCACTTCTGACTTTTTGGAAATTAATTAAATTAGTTAATTGGAAATAAGAGTCTTATGGACTTTCCTGCAAGGCTAACTTTGAATCATGATCCTCAAATCTCAGCCTCCTGAAGAGCTGGGATTATAGGCGTGAGGCACCAGAACCCTGCTTTGGGGTTCTCTTTAAAGCTTCATGTTAGGGAACAGAAAGCCCTGGGTTTTGTTATGCTGTTTCTCAGTCAGTAACTCTCATCTCTGGCTCTCCACAACAACCCTTCTGGTCCTCATCCCCCTAAAAAGTACTTTTGTGGGGAACAAACTGGGGTCTCTTGCTTCTCTCATTCCCCACCACCACCTGGAAAACATAGACTACCATTTTCCATCTAAGGATGGAGCTGAGAGAAGGGCAGTCTCACAAGCTTCTGCTTTTACCTATTCCTTTCAAGAAAGGCAAATTGTCCCTTCTTGCTAAGGAACCATTGCCACACACACACACATGCTTCCCTCCCTGCTCCCCTCCCCTCCAGTGGAGCTGCTGCTGCCATGGTTGCCAGGCATGGTTGCTAAGTCTCTGCATGGAAGGGTTGGCGTGGGCTGTGCTGCCACTAACATTACCATGGTGAATCAGGGGACACCTGGTAGAGGCTTAGGGGGAGGGATCATGTGGGTGTAAGCAACAACCCCCTTGTCCAGAATGAGCCCAAAAGGTGAGCTCTGCCTCAGACAAGCACTAAATAAGTGAACTAGCACTTTGAGGTGGGGGAGGAAGGTTGCAGGGGGACGCTATGCTAGGAGTGACTACTTTTATTTCAGTTGCTAGTGGATTCCATTTGCCAAGGGAGCATAACATCTCCCTGCCTGCCCCCCATCATACAAATGCATAAGCACCCTAGTCCTCTGGGTAGAGTTGTATAGGCACAGAACAGAACCCCCAAATTCTGGCTTCTGTATTGGGAGAGAAAGCCTGCTGTTGAGGGGTGAGGGGGTTCCATGGGTTCCCAAGGACAAATATTTTGGAAAGGCAGTGGTGGAGTAGCTTCAGTAGCCAAGACAGACATCCTGCGCTATATCCGCTATATCAGCAGCTCTGAGCTGCAGCACTGAACAGAAGTGTTAAGAATGTTTTTGAGATGGGGGGAGGGGGCAACTCGCCCCCAAAGTGGCACAAAAGCTTCCTGAAAGCCACCTCCTCCTCTCTACTGCTTGGGAGCTGGTTACTCATCTCATCTCTGCACCCAAATGCCACTGCCGCTAAAAATAGTCCCCATCAGCCAGCCCCTCCTGCACCCCAACCCCATGGTAACCAGCCAAGAGTGGCAGGCAGAGACCTTGAGTTCTGTTGTCACCACTCCCTGTTGGGGAGACAAGTCCGAGGCTGGAAGTCAAGGGTAGACGAATCCTGGTGGTCAGGCAACCTGCCAAGCAGGAGAGTAGAGGGTTAAACGGGCTGGAAGGTTAAAGAAATGGGGGCAGAGAGTGGGGGGACTGTCAGCTTGGCAAGAAGTCTGTCCTCTGCCCACTCGCCCACTCGCGAGGATCCCATCATGCTGGGGGTACGGGGGGGAGGGGATGGATCAGAGCAGGGGGAAGGGGCGTCCAATCCGGGCCCCGGGTGTGTGTTGGGGGGGGGGGAAGCACATGGGGGAGGTAGCAGCGCAGAGCAGTCCGCGCCGTGTCACATGCGCGCGCACACTCACAGACAGGCACACACACGTGTGCCTGGGTATATATAGTTCCCAGTGCCTGGGCCCGCCGCTCTGCAGTGGGCGCCAGCTCCCTGGGCTGGGAGGGGGGCTCACGGGCGGGGTGGGAGGGTGGGGGGCCGGGGTGGGGTGGGGCAGGATGCTGGATGGCCCGCTCTTCTCCGAGGGGCCCGACAGCCCCCGGGAGCTCCAGGACCAAGAGTCTGGCAGCTGCCTCTGGGTGCAGAAGTCTAAGCTGTTGGTGATCGAAGTGAAGACTATTTCCTGTCATTATAGTCGCCGCGCCCCTCCTCGACAGCCCATGGACTTCCAGGCCAGCCACTGGGCTCGCGGGCCCCAGATCCGCACGTGAGTGAAGAAGGACGGGTGAAGGGAAAGCCAGTGGGGTCTCGATCTCCCCTCCCCCTCCCCGCCCCTCCCCCTCCCCCCAGGCACCCGTGAATAATAATCGCTGGTCCCCCCCCTCCTCCTCCTCTTTCCCGCGCCTCCCTCCCCCACCCCTCGAAGTCTGGGACCTGATTCATTCAGCGTTGTTTGGAGGGGTGAGGTGGGCGGACAGGAGTGGGCGTGAGAAAGGGCACGAGGGGAAATGGGACCGGTGCTGGTAAAGTGTGCGTGGAGAGAGGGCGAGAAGTTCGACTTCAGCCCTCACCTGTGCGCACGTGCACGGCAGCACAGCCTCGCCAGCACCCCATCTCACGGCCGTCCCGCACGGTGTCCAGCGCTCCCAGCTCCCCGGACCTCGGCTCCCTTCCCCCACACCCTGCTCACCTGGATTCCTGCTCATTGTCCCAGGTGTAGGCCACGCCCGGGATCCCCTGAACCGCCGCCGCCCCGCCGACCCTGGGCTTCCAGGGTGCTGCAGGAGGCGACCAACTGGCGGGCAGGGCCCCCGGCCGAGGTTCGAGCCCGGGAGCAGGAGAAAAGGAAAGCGGCGTCGCAGGAGCGGGAGGCCAAGGAGACCGAGCGAAAAAGGCGCAAAGCTGGTGGGGCCCGACGGAGTCCCTTGGGTCAGCCTCGCCCAGAGCCCCGGAACACCCCTCGGCTGGCCCAGCCCTCGGGGCTCCTGGTTTACTCTCGGCCTGGGCGCCTCGGGCAGGTGGGGCGAGCGTCCCGTCCATCTGCGCAACCGCAGAGCGACCCAGGGGCGGCGTGGGGGGGGCCCTGGGGGGGGAGGAGGCCAGGGCCCCCCAGCTATGAGGCACACCTGTTGCTGAGAGGCGCGGCGGGCACCGCCCCGCGTCGCCGCTGGGACCGGCCACCCCCCTACGTGGCTCCACCTTCCTACGACGGCCCCCACAGGACCTTGGGGACTAAGCGAGGCCCGGTGCTCTCCCAGGCAGCCATCTCCTCCACCCCGGCTCCCAACCCTGTCAGGACAGAGGGAGGGCTCACAAAAAAGAGGCTGGATCCTCGAATCTACCGGGACGTCCTCGGGGCTTGGGGTCTCCGACAGAGCCGGGGTCTCTTAGGGGGAGCTGCGGGCTGTGGAGTAGCCAGAGAGAGGCTGGAGTCCGGCCAGCCGGCGGCCGTGGAGAAAATCCCAGGCCTAGCTGCTGCTGGCCATTCCCAAGCCAAAGGTACTGGTAGGCCGGGCACCGAGACAGCTCCTTCTGGGTCTGTACCTGCGACCCTCAGCCCCATGCGCCCCGCGCCCCGGCCCAGGCACCACCTGCAGGGCTCCAGGGAAGGGAAAGAAGGAAAAGAACACCCCTGGCTTCCCAAATGCTGGATTTCCTCCCCTAAAAAGCAGCCCCCTAGACATAGCCAGACCCTCCCCAGACCTTGGGCTCCAGGCGGCACCGGGTGGAGAGAGTCCCTGGGTCATAGAGAGGGGGCAGGACCGGAGAGTCTGGAGGGCTGGCCGGTGGCCCGGCGCGCCCACACCCTGCCCCGCAGTTCCCACTGCCGCGCTCGCAGAGAAGGCGTCTTTGTCATTGATGCCACGTGTGTGGTGATCAGGTCCCAGTATGTGCCCACCCCTCGAACCCCGCAGGTGCAGCTTTTGCCTTCTGGGGAGCCATGTATTGTTGGGGCTGGCCCTGGGCAGCCCAAGCCCTGCAAAGAAGAGGAGGAGGGCGAGAGGCCCACGGTTTTACCCTCCCCAAAGCAACTGTCCAACGGTCGGATTGTACAACAACCGGGCACAGAGCATGAATGTGAAGCTAAGGGCAGGAATCCAGGGGACTCCTCAATGGAGGGGCGGTCCTCCTCCGGCATCTTGGGGCTCCCTGTGGGCGAAGTAAACTTGAGAGATGACCCCACTCAGCCAGGTAGCCCAGAGAATTCAGTCGTAGGCCCAGCGGCTCCGGGATGCGCCCGCAGCACCAAGGGCTCCGAAGTGGCGGCGGCGGTGGTCCCCAAGCGTATAGGTGGAGGCTGGGCTCGAACCCCAGGGCCCTACGCTGGAGCCCTGCGGGAAGCTGTGTCCCGGATCCGTCGCCACACGGCCCCGGACTCGGATTCAGACGAAGCTGAGGAGCTCAGCGCCCATAGCGGCTCCTCAGAAGGAAGCGACACAGAAACCCCAAGGGCTTCCTGTAGGAATGACAGGACCCTGCCGGTGGCTGGGAAGACAGCAGAACTGCGCCACAAGGTAGATGCCATCAGCCAAAATGAGGAGACAGACCCTTTTCCGGGCGCGGGATACCAAGGGGACCCCAGAGGGAAATAAGGAAAGACAGTGAGGTACACCTCTTCTTGTTTTCCCCTGGACCCATCTATTCTTGGGCCTGCTGGGTCCCCTTTCTTCCCCCCTCCCCACTTCCTTTGCTCTTCTTTATTTCCCTACCTATACCTGTTCCCATACTTGAAATAGAAAGGAAGGAAAGGGAGCATGTGCCCATTCATGGTTTTGTTTCAAGACAGGTGAGTCTGAGCAGTAGATTTAGTGTCTGCTAGATTCAGGACACACAGTGGCGTCCTCTGCAGGGGCGGTTAGCCTAGGTGTGGAGCCTATGAGGGAGGCCCAGGCAGGAGGGCAGGACTGGTGGCAATATCAAGGCAAGGCCTCTGGGCAGAAAGGAGAAGATCAGGACCCAGTGACAGAGTGAGCAGGTGACAGAACGCTCCTTAGCAGAGGAGGAAAGAATCCAGAAGTGACCAACAAAGCCGGAAGAGGGCTCCCCTTCATGTCACAAGTCTTGAGCCTCATTTCCAAATCTGCCACTGATGGGGTTGGTTGACTTTAGACCAATCCTTTCCCTTTCTGGAATGTACAAAGAAGAAACTCTATGGTCTATCCTTCTATCTCTGGAAATTTGGCTTTTTTATTTTTTCCTTGAGGAGGGCTTTATCTCATCTTCTCCTTTAACAAGGCAGGAAAGAGTGGCAGGAATAAGTGAATAGAATCTGAGGTTCCAAGACAGCCTCCTTGTCAGTTGCATTTCATCCTCAATTCAGGGGACTGTCCAGGGATTTACGAAGATCCGAGTGGGAGAAAGCCTCTTATCTCAGCCTCCCAGGTTTCGGGGAGTGCGGGGCAAGAGAGTAGCACTGTCACTCCCTTTCCCTGTCCGTAGTAGTCCCAAGCTGGGAAGGGAAGACAGCCAATGAATGAGCTTGAGACTTCCTTGGGCTCTTCTATTCTCTCCTACTCCCCTCCCCCTTAGTGAGGGTCGAATGTAAACAAACGGAGCCAGGATTTCCCATCCACGTGGTGCCGTCCACTTTGACAGGACCCGAGAATGTCTGTACCTCTTCCTTTTCCAAAAACAACAGCCAGGCCCAGGAAAGCAAGTCTTAGGATAAGGCGAGTCCCAAGAAACCTGTAAGTGTGGGGTGTCATTCTCGCTATAGCCACTACGGGGCGCGCGCAGGTCGCGGATCTCCCGGGTTGCTACTCCCCGAGTCCCCCGCGGTTCCCCGGTACAGCCGGTTAATCCGATTCCTGTCCCGGGCCTGGTCGGCTCCAGCGCGTGCGCGGCGGCGGGCGTGCGGGGGCCCGGAGCAGGCCTTCGGCCTCCTAGACTTCTGGAGCGCCCCCACTCCACCCCCTCTTTTGTGCTCATTCATGCCAGCCGGCTTGGGACTCCGACAGACATTGAAGTCTGGCTTTCCCCACCACTCTTCTCCGATCCTGGATACCTCCTCTGTCTCTGCCATGTGAACTTGGCCAAATCACTTCACCTCCCTGAGCCTCAGTTTCCTCATCTGTCAAATGGGGTTTTATTTTTTAAAGAAACACCTACCTCGCAGGGTTGTTGTGAGGACTTAATGCGGTAATGTATGTATGTACAAAGCGCCTTGCACAGTGCCCGGCACACAGTAGGCGCTCAATAAATCTAAAGCTTCCCTTTATCTAGCTTTGGCTTGTTCCTTTCCCTGGCCTTTGTCCCCCATAGTGTCCTTCCAGTAGGGCTTCTCTGCTCCAGGGGTAGGAGGGCTCCCTTGTTGGCTGGAAACTCCTGACCCACCCATCTCCCCTGGCCTTCGGGACTCTCCCTTCCTTGCCTTCCCCCCCCCCCACACACACACCATCACCACCACCGGCACCACCACCACCACCACCACCATGCCGCACCCTGCCGGTTCTTCCCACTGTCCCGGCGCACTCCCCCCCCCCCCCCCCCCCATTCCGGGCAAGGGCTGAGTCAGCCTGGGTAAATTTAGCCGCTGGCTGAGCAGGCGCGGGGGCTTCGCCCAGACTCAGTCTCCGGGTCCTGCCCGGTCCCTCAGCCCCACCTCAGTCCCCCCCAACTCCCACTGAATCCCGCTCGCGTTCAGGTCTCCAACTCTGCTCTCAAACCACTTAGGGGTTTAGTGTCCAATTATCTCCATGTCACTTGCCAGCACCCGGGGAGACTCAGAGCAAGAGTCAAGGGGCAGGGCTGCCAGGAGGTCCCCAGGCCACCCTGAGCCACAGGCCAGGCTCCATTCTGTGAGTGTCTTTCCTCTGTGGGCTTAAGGACCTGTGCTTGGTGGCTCTGGCTTGTAGCCCTAGCTACTCAGGAGGCTGAGATCTGAGGATGGCAGGCCAGGAAACATCTCCAATTAACCAGCAAAAAGCCGGAAGTGAACTGTGGCTCAAGTGGTAGAATAGCCTTGAGCAACAACAACAACAACCAAAACACACATACAAAACAAAACAACCCCAAACTCAAGGACAGTGCACCCAGGCCCTGAGTTCAAGCCCCACAACCAACACACACACACACACACACATACACACACACACACATACACACTCCATGGGGAAAACAGAAAGTCTACCCCAGAGCCTCTTTGAAGCCCATACTGCCCGATTTCTAGTAGCTCTTGTAGGAAGAGGCAAAGAAAGGGGAGGGGCTGTTCCACTTTGTGCAGATATTCCTTCTACTACAATTCTAATTACTGCTAATTCTACCACTGAGCATTTACTTGAGCACCTACTACAAATGAATCACTGGGGTGGGCTACAGGATAGAGAAGAGCAAGTCTTTGAAATATACAAATGATAGTATTGATTTTTTTTTTGAGACAAGATCTAGGTAGCTCAGGCTAACCTCAAACTCAAGATCCCTCCTGCCTCTGCCTTCCAAGAACTAAGATTATAGGGGCTTACCACCATGGCTGGGGAAATTACAGTACTTGAACAATGCATATTAAGTACTGAAGAGTCAAACTAGGGACAGTGTAATTTTGAGACTCCAGAAGGCTTCATGGAGGAGGTGACATCAGATAAATTTACTGAAAGGGCATTTCAAGAAAAGGAAACAAACTGGGCACAGCAGTGTATGCCTGTGGTACCATCTACTTCTCAGGCTAAGAAGTGTCTCACTTGGAGACCAGAAGTTCCTGACTAGACTGGACAACATTGTCATATCCTGTGTCCAAAACAAAACAAAACAAAAAATCAACTAGAGAGACTAAAGTAACAAAAACAGAGGGCAAAGCTGCAGAGAGACAGGGTTCTTTAGAAACTTACCAAAAACTCTGGGTTGCCTGTGGTTGAGAGGACATTCCGGAAATTGTGGAAGATGAGACCAGAATGAACACTGGAGGCCAAACCTGGCTCACACCAGTAATCCTAGCTATTCAGGGGGCTGAGATCTGAGGATCATGGTTTGAAGCCAGCCCAGGCAGGAAAGTCCATTTAACCACCAAAACACCTGGAAGTAGCACTATGGCATAAGGGATAGAGCACTAGCCTTGAGTGAAAAGGCTCAGGGACAGTTCTCAGCCCCTGAGTTTAAGAGTCAGGACTGGCAAAACAAAGAAACTAACCACACAACCACCCCAGTTCCCAAACTGGAGGCTAGACAGGTAAGCCTGATGCACTGGAACCCTGGGCTTGGGACAAGGATGGGCTTTCAGGTGGAGAATTAGGGATAGCCCAAGCAGCTGCCTGGATCTTCCTACAACCCAGGGGCTCCATGCGTGGGGAAGGGGGAAGTGAGCTTCACTATGCTGCCTGAACCCCTTTGAGCATGAATACATAGAGTTCAGTTCCTAGCTGCTTCCCCCCTCCCCCTCCCCAGAGCTGAGGACTGAACCCAGGGCCTTGCATTTGCCAGCCAAGTGCTCTTCCACTGAGCTAAATCCTCAGCCCCTTGAGTTCAGTTCCTAAGAACCCATCCACACTGCCAACATTGTCCAGGAGCTGCGGCAGTGTTTTTGCTTAGAACATTAGCTCTGGGGCCTGGCAGCTATGCTTAAATTCTTTATTTTTTAATTAATTAATTAATTTATTTATTTTTGGTGTCAGTCCTAGGGCTTGCTTAAGGCTAGCACTCTACCACTTGAGCCACAGTGCCACTTCCAGCTTTTTCTGTTTATGTGGTACTGAGGAATCAAACCCAGGGCTTCATGCATGCTAGGCAAACACTTTACCACTAAGCTACATTCCCAGCCCTTGTGCTGGTTTTGACTGATGATCTTCAGATCTAAGCTTCCTGAGTACCTAAGATTACAGATGTGAACCACCATTGCCCAGCTAAATTCCTGCTGCAATTTTGACCTTGGACAAGTTACTTAACCTCCCTGTGCTGCATAAAATAGGTTCAGGGTAAGACATGATAATGAACACTTATAATACAAACTGAGGGGCTGGGAAGATGGCTCAGTGGTAGAGTGTTTGCCTTGCATGTATGAGGCCCTGGGTTCCATTCCTCAGCACCACATAAGCAGAAAAAGCCGGAAGTGGCGCTGTGGCTCAAGTGGTAGAGCACTAGCTTTGAGCTGAAGAGTTGAGGGACAGCGCCCAGGTCCAGAGCTCAGGCCTCATTACCGACGAATAAATAAATAAATAAAATAATACTAACTGAGGCAGGGGACCTGGCTACATAGTAAACTGCAAACTAGCCAGGGCTACATAGTAGACTGAGTCTCATGAAATTAAAATTTTAAGTTGCCTTCTGTATATCATCTTTATAATAAAAACAAAATTTTTGAAAAAAAATTTACTAAAAGTGCTTTTTTTCCTCCAGTCCTAGGGCTTCAACTCAGGGACTGGGCATTGTCCCTGAGCTTCTTTTTTGCTCAAGGCTAGCACTGTGACCCACAGTGCCACTTCCAGCTTTTTCTGTTTATGTGGTACTGAGAAACTGAACCTAGGACTTCATGCATGCTAGGCAAGCATTCTACCACCAAAGCTACATTCCCAGCTCTGCTAAAAGTTCTTTTTTCCCAAGGTTGGGATGAGGCTCAAGTAATAGAATGGCCTGCCTTCTGAGCACAAGACCCTGAGTTCTAACCCTAGGATGAAAAAAAAAAAAAAGCTTGGAAGGATTAAACGATTCAATATGTCCAATATGTAAAGTATTTAGAATGTTCAAATTGTCCCCATCTAGTAAGTAACATGCAGGTATTGTTTCTCTTTAGAGCTATTTCATTAGGGATATTGTGTAGAAACAAAGGAATGGGAAAAGAGCTGGTGACTCACGCCTGTAATCCTAGCTACTCAAGAGGCTGAGATCGAAAGAGTGTGGTTCAAAGCCAGCCCAGGCAGGAAAGTCTGTGAGACTCTCATCTCCAATTAACTATACAAAAGCCAAAAGTGAGCTGTAGGTAAAGTGGTAGAGCTCTGACCTTGAGCAAAAAACCGCAGGGACAGTGCTCAGGCTCTGAATTTAAGTCCCAGAACAGAAAGAGGGAGGGAGAGAGGGAAGGAGAGACAGAGAAACAGAGGCCACACAGGCCATACCAAGAGGTGCTAACCAGAGCCAGAGGTGTAGCTCAGAGGCAGAGCCCTGGCATGGGCTTGATCTCCACCACCACAGTGTGTGAGGGGAAAGAGCCCAAGGTGGGTGCATATAGCCCCTGGAACAGGCCATGGCTGCTGGTGGCTTGAATGTCAGAACAGCATGGCCCCTCTCTCAGAACTTCCCCCATCTTTGCCTAAGGGTAAAGCCAGAATCAGACGCCAAAATTCTAGGGTGAGCGAGAGAGAGGAGAAGGGACTGCAGGTCTGGGGAGCCATATCTTAGGCTGGCCCTGTAGGGCCCTGTGGGTGGAAGGCTGGAAGCTCCCTGCTGTGAAAATTACTTCTAAATCTGGCTATGTCTGCCAGCCAGCTACATAATGGAGGCCACAATCTCCTCCCTCCCCCCAACCCTTCCCCGGCCTTCGGACAGCCTCCGTGATCAGAAGTAGAGACAGAAGATGCAGAGGGACATGGTAGAACCCTAGAAACTCCCAACAGCCAAGGCTGCCCTTTTACTCCCACATTTCCTCCCCAGATAACTCCCCAGTTACCAAGCTGTAATTCTGGGACTTCACAGAGTGTCCAGAATGTGACTGTAGATGTGTGTGCAGTGGAGAGCAACTGGAGAGACAGAGGAACATGAGGACATGGGAAGTGTACCATGTGTATTTCTGAAAACGATATGAATGCTCCTTTAGTTCCTCATGTCATGTGCTCACTTGTCAATGTATGCCCAGAGCAGACTGTGGTGGCACATACCTATAATCCCAGCTACTGGATTACAGAAGCAGAAAGATTCAGAGTTCAAGGTCAGCCTAGGATAAGGTAGTGAGATTCTATCTCAAAAACAAAAATAGGGCTGGGATGTAGCTCAGTGGCAAAGCGCTTGCCTAGCAAGCACAACGTCCTGGGTTCGATCCCCAGTACCAAAAAAGAAAAGACAAAAAAAATACAGTTAAAAAAAAAACCCAAACAAAAAAATAAATAAATAAAACAAAAGGACCGGGGTATGGTTCAACTGGTAGAGAGCTTGCTTAGCATGCAGGAAGTCCTGAGTTTAATTCCAAGTAATAAAATAGAAACAGTATGTGAAAAAGACGGAAGAGACTCTGGCACACTTTTTTTTTTTTTTTGGGTCCGGTCGT